CCGAAAGTCCGATTCGGCTCAAGAGGCCCCCACGATCGCCAAAAGACGGCCCACGAGGTCCCCAAGAGGGCCCGAAGTCGGCACAAGATTGCCCGTCCATAGACAACACCAAGAGGGCTGCAAAAAGGCCCGAGAGACCTCCAAGACAGCCCCAAAGAGTCCTAAGAGGTCCCCAAGATGGTACATATAGGCCCCCAAGACGGTGTCCGAAGGCACCGAACTCCAGAGGCCTCCAGGACAGCGGCCCAAGAGGGCCCCAAGACTGCGCCCAAGAGAGCCCCCCGACAACCCGAGATGGCCCCAGGAGAGCCCCACGAACGCCCGACCCCCCCCGAGGCGGCCCTCGAGGCAACAGAAAAACCAAAAGCGCCCTGAGCAGCTCAAGAGAATCCCAAAAAAGCCCAAGAGGGCCCCAGGAGACCCTCAGACAGCCCCAAGGCAGCCCCAAGGCAGCCCCAAAGGGGACCCTCCTGTAGGACCCTTCCCTCTTGCGACTACAGGCATGTGTTCTCTGTGTGCTCAAACATGTACCGTGTGTAGCAGATGTAGACATCGTCTGAACTTAAAGTATAAGCTTACGTTCTGCAAAACTCCATTCATGAAATCAATGTGTATCCCATTTAACTACCGATATTGAGCGTCAGGAATTTCCAGAGGAGGCGCCGTGGGGGTCGCGGAAGCTTACTAGGAAAATCCGAAAGCATGAAAAGCCGACGGAGAAAAAGCAGCGTTTGCACATGGAGAAATACGAAAAAAACGGACAACCTGTGACTACAATTATGTTAAGGTGTAGATCACCCGCACTTGGAACCGCTTTGCAGCAGCCTGTGCAAAGGGATTCAATGTGTTGCGATCTTACAAAACGATTTCTTTGTGGGGGATCTGCAGTGGCCTTCGCAACTGAAACTCATGTTCAAAAGCCTGTAAGCAAGAAAGCATTAAAAACGGATTTCAAATGTGATGAAGGTCACTGAAATGGCGGCGCCTTGGGCCCAACACAAGCACACCCTAAAAAACTCTGCTTTCATATGGGATGCATGAAGAAGCACAGAACACCTGTGACGGTCACTATTGTAATGGTGTAGACCACCCACACTTTAAACTCCGTTGCAGCAGCCTTTACAACAGGATTCCTGGTGTGGCGAAAGGGGTTCATTTTGTGGTGGATCCCACGATTGAAACCATTGTGCACCAGCCTGCGAAAAGGGATTCCTGTCGTGGCGATGTCACAAAAAGATGTACAATGTGGGGGCCAGTGCAGTGGCGGCGCCTTGAGCCCAGGAACGCCAAAGGGAAAATGGGGACAACACAAACACACCCAAAAACCCTCCGACTTTCATCTAGATGCACAAAGAAGCACACAACACCTGTGACTGTCACTATTGTTATGGTGTAGACCACCCACACTTTAAACCACCTTGCAGCAGCCTTTACAACAGGATCCCTGGTGTAGCGATCTGCAGTGGCCTTGAAATTGAAAGCCCTGTTGCAGCATTATGTATTGAAGGGGTTGCTTGTGAGGTGACTCCCACGATTGAAACCCTTTTGTACCAGCCTGTGCAAAGGGATTCCTGTTGTGACGGCTTTACAATAAGATGCCCATTGCGGGGGCAGTGCAGTGACGGTGCCTTGACCCCAGGGAGGCCAGACAGGAATACATGGAAAAAACATGTTCCACAAAAACATGTTTTCACAGAGCGAAGTAGGAAAGGGCTCGGAACACCTGTCACTGTAGCTCTGTGTATGGTGCAGATCACCCACAATTGAACATATTGCGTAGCAGCCTTTATAAAAGAATTCCTCATGTGGCGATCTTACGCAAGGACTTTCGTGTGTGGGGCATCTGCGGTGGCCTCAGAACCGTTTTGTGTAGCAGCCTGTACTAAAGGATGATTTTTGTGGTGGCCTCCGACATGGAAATCCTTTCGGACCAGCCTGTACAGAAGGAGCCCGCGTGTGGCAGCCTTCCACAAGGATTTCAAGTTTGGACGTCACTGCAGTGGCGGCACCTTGAGCCAAGGAACGCCAGAGAGGAACACATGAAAAACAGGGAAAACAAATAAAAGCATGTGGCTTCATATGGGAAACATGAAAAGCCAGGAACACATGTGACTGTCACTGAGATTATGTTGCACATCACCCACAACTACATCCATGTGTGTCGAATCTTTTTTTTAAGGATTACGTATGGCGATCTTGCAAAACATTGTGCGCGCACGAACCTTTACAACGAGATTATACTTGCGGAGGCCACAGATAAAACCCTGTTGCAAGATCGCCACGAAAGAAATCCGGATGTGAAGGCTGCTGGAAAAAGGATCTCAACCGTGGATGGCCTACACCAGAAACTAGCGCCAGTCACACTTTTTTAAATGTGGTTCCTACGTTTCTTCGTGAAAGTACAGGTTGCTATTAATTTGGTACTTGGTATGGTTTTTTTGGTTGAAGCCGCCACTGCAGTGGCCTTCACACTTGAAATCCGCGTGTAAGGCCGCCACAGTAGGAATGCCGCTGCACAGGCTGCTACAGCAGGATTTCTAGTGTGGATGCCGCTACAGGTTCCCCATAAGTCGAATCCTTCTGTAAGATCGCCACAAAAAGAATCCTTGTGTAAAGCCTGCTACACAAGGATCTTAAATGTGGAGGCCAATGCAGATCCCCAACAATTCAAATAATTTTGCACGATGGCCACAAAAGGAACCCCTTGTGCAAAGGCTGCACAAAAGGGCGTTCTTGTGTAAGCCAGCCTTAAGGTGCCTCCTTTCGGAAGGCCGTCACAAAAAAACTGTGTTCAGCAAAGACGGCACAGGTAATGGTGATGATGATGCTGATGCTGATGTTGATGTTGATAATGATGATGATAATGATGATGATAATAATGATGATGGTGATGATGATGATGGTGATGATGATGATGGTGATAATTATGATGGTGCTGATGGTGATGCCGATGAGAAAATCGATCGGTGGCTACAAATGTATCTAGACATCCTCGTTGTAACCAGACAACAAAGGGTCGGACGGGCCCCTCCCGAAAGTTCCCCTAGTGGTTCCCCCAACTGCTAGGGGAGCACGCAGTCCGATAACGTGACCAGCAGGGGGCGGCGGTAATTCTCTGGAGGCATCTTCGATAGTCACCGCCACGCGCTTCCCGTCATCCGACTGGGTCTGGCTGCCAAGCGGCCCGAGAACTGAGGAATGTTCTTATCCAAGGACCCACCGTGACGCGCTTCCGTCACAAGTGATGGCTTAATAATGTGGGCTGCTTGGTGCCCCTCTTGGAACGTCTCTTGAAGCCGCTCGTACTCTCCTTGGCGCCTCTCAAGCTCCGTGGCCCATCTCGGGGAGCTCGTGGTAGTTACGTGTTGGAGACTTCCCATGGCGTTCACGTGAACCGTGTTGAAAGCCGCTCAGGCTCTTTGGAGCTTTTTTTTGGAGGCCAGGACAAAACTCCCCCAGAGGGGTGCGGCCAGTCACCCCTGGTCAGCAATCAAAGGCCGCTTAGCTCCCCTGGTCCAAAAAAATCCAGGCAGTCACCGCGGCGCGCTTCCCGTCATCCGCCCATCCCCCAGTCGCGCAAAGACGCGGACCAGTCTGGAGTGATCGAGGGGGGCGAGTTCATTGACGGCATCGCTTCTCTCGTGGTGTCCTCCGTGCCTCTAGAGACGACGCAGATTCGGCAGCTGCTGCGGCGACGCCCAAGCTGCCCCCAGGAAGACCCAGAGAGGCGGGAACGGACGGGAGGGAAGAGGAACCCGAGACCCACATCCCAAGCACGGTGGCAGGGATCGCGGAGGGCCGCTCGATGGAGCTCCCTGGCGTGAGCCAGGGAAGCCCCGCAAGCCAAACCTGGGCCCAGGGAAGGGCCTGACCGGGAGCAGTGCCGGTGCGCAGCTGGCAGCCGACGGGCGCAATCGGCAATGCGAGGGGAAGGAGATGCAGGATTTTGGGGAGGAGGAGACCTCAGACCTCGGACTCTCCTCCTCCTCCCCAGACCCCCGACGTCGCAAGGCTCTCGCACCGTGGGTCCACGGAGACCCTGACCCCTTCCCCGGAAACGTCTGTTCATGCCGACCGTTCTGTCGACAGCCCTGGGGCCCGGCAGGGGCACCTGGAGGACGAGAACATCCAAAAACTGACGTCGCGATTTCGCTCAAGACGCGAAGTGGCCTTGTCTTCCCCTGCTCCGCCTGCTCCTCCTGCTCCTCCTCCTCCTCCTCCTCCTCCTCCTCCTCCTCCTCCTCCTCCTCCTCCTCCTCCTCCTCCTCCTCCTTATGAGTTTATTATTCATGTGATGCGTTATACTTCTAGTATGATTAGTGAAATTATTGATATCCGCCTTCATATTATTCCTCATAATATTGATGTTATTATTATTCTTCTGCTCAGTATTAGAATATGCTATTCTTCTTCTTCACACAGCCCTGAAGGCGAACGTCCGAGGTGTCCATGTATGCACATGTCGGCGGTAAAGACGGCAAGGTGTAGGCGAGACCAAGAGGAGCAGCAATAACCAACATCAACCATCGCCCTAAGGATGAGAGAGGGGCAGAAATATGGGCAACGTCAGCCTCAAGCCACGCGTCTCCCAGAGACACAGGCGCAAAGTGGTGAGAGGCATCAGAGGCCATGACACCAGCTAAGAAGTGAGGCACCCTGGCTGCCATCAGGCGGGGCTAACCCAAGTTCGGGCGTCCTCTCCTCCTCTCCTCCTCCTCCTCCTCCTCCTCCTCCTCCTCCTCCTCCTCCTCCTCCTCCTCCTCCTCCTCCCTCCTCCTCCTCCTCCTCCTCCTCCTCCTCTCTCCTCCTCCTTCCTCCTCCTCCTCCTCCTCCTCCTCCTCCTTCTCCTCCTCCTCCTCCTCCTCCTCCTCCCTCCCTCCCTCCCTCCCTCCCTCTCCTCCCTCCCTCCCCTCCCCCCCTCCCTCCCCTCCCCTCCCCTCCCTCCCTCCCTCCCTCCCTCCCTCCTCCTCCTCCTCCTCCTCCTCCTCGTCCCCGCCGTCCTCGGGGTTGGACTCGAGGGGCAGCCACGAGCCCCCGGGCGCGTCTGCGCCCTCGGCCATGGGGACCGCCGCGGCGGGGCGCGGAGGGGCCAGACGCAGCGCGGTCGGGGCATACCCGGTAGGGTCGCAGCGAGGGTCCTGTCGGAGGAGGAGGAGCAGGAGGAGGTGGAGGAGGTGGAGGAGGAGGAGCAGGAGGAGGAGCAGGAGAAGGTGGAGGAGGTGGAGGAGGAGGAGGAGGAGCAGGAGGAGGAGCAGGAGGAGGTGGAGGATGTGGAGGAGGAGGAGCAGGAGAAGGAGGAGGAGGAGGAGGAGGGCGGAGGAGGAGGGCGGAGGAGGAGGAGGAGGAGAAAGAGGAGGAGGAGGAGTGGTGGGTCCGCAAACGGTGCGGTGACAGACCGTGCGGTGACCTCGAAATCCCAGAGGACCTCACTGCACCGTCCGTCACCGCACGGTTTGGGGACCTTGGAGGCCCCAGTCGCTCGAGACATCCTCGGAGACCGACCGAAGTCTCAAAACCGTGCAGTCATCCCGAACCCCCACTGGCTCACCACACGGTTTGGTCTTCGCACTGTTTGGGGTCCCCCGATCCTCCCCAGATCCCCTCGCGTCGTGAGAAAATCATGACAGAAAGCTGTCGGTAACACTTTCTGCCTCCTGGGGCCCTTGCTGGGCCCCAGGACCGCCAGAAAACACCTCACGATGAACAGCCAGTCCCGGGGAAGGGATCGAGAGCTCCTTCCCTGGGCCACCACAGAAAAACCTTCGTGCTTGGAGGCCCGCGGGGAGCTTTCGCGTCGATCCTGAACCACCTCCCCTGCTTGGCGTGGAGGAAACGGATCCTGAGGAAACAGGGTACTGGACCCTGGGGCCTTCCCCCGGGACGAGCTCTGCATCCGGAATCGTTTTCTGACGGTCCTGGGGCCCGCGGGGGGCCCCGAGGGCCCGAAAGCGACGCAAAACCTCGGGACCCGATCCCCTGAGAGCCCGGATCCCCAAAGGCAGCCCTCCCCCTGCGCGCGAAGCGCGCCAGGGGCGGTGTCGGAGGCGCCGCCAGAGGGGGGGGATCCTCCCGCGTCGCCCCCAGCGCGCGAAGCGCGCCAGGGGAGGGAGCCTTCCCGGAGGACCCTTCAAGGCGGCCCCTCTGGCCGCCCTGGAGGCCTCGCGGGAGCCTGTTGGGCCATCTCGGGGCCCTGTGTGTTGGAGCACCATGTGGGCCCTGCTCTGGGACGAGAGCACGTCGCAGACGGATCTGCCCTCTCTCCGGCCCTGCACTGCGCCGAACGCAATGGCCGAGTTGTGCAAAGACGCATCCACCACCAGTGCGTCTATAGACGTCACGGCACCCAATGTTTCCCTAGACGCTCTTGGCCAGAGTGTGGGAACGGTATTTGGCACTGACCCCAGATATTCGCCTTCTCGAAGCAGGTAGACTTGGCCCTGCCGGTCGGGGTTTGGCCCTCTTGGGGCCCTCTGGGTGCCATCCTGGGGCCCCTGGCGTGAGGTCGGGCATGTCCTCCTACAGGCGGAGCTGGGAAGCAAAACGACAAGCAGCCAAGACATACTCAAAAATGCTCAAAACTAGCAGAACAGTCATCCCCAGACAATCTTTAAAAAAAACTGTTGCTGGATCTTCCCCCTGCAGAGGGACCTGCCCGACGGAACCCTGGCGGCGCCGGGGGCCCTCCCCCCGCCGAGGGGGGCGCGCTGCGCGTCACCGCTCCGCGCCGCCCCTGAGCCCGCGCCGCCGCAGGGGCAGCCCGCCCCCATGCACCCGCACGGGCTCACGGGGGGTCGAGGTCTCGAGCCCCGCGCGCGACAGGGCGAGGAGGGGGAGGACGAGGAGGAGGACGAGGAGGAGGACGAGGAGGAGGAGGAGGAGGAGGACGGCGATGGAGAGGAGGAGGAGGAGGAGGAGGAGGAGGAGGAGGAGGAGGAGGAGGAGGAGGAGGAGGACGGCGATGGAGAGGAGGAGGAGGAGGAAGATGAGGGGGAGGAGAAGGAGAAGGAGGAGGAGGAGGAGGAGGAGAAGGAGGAGGAGGAGGAGGCGATCCCGGAGCCCCCTAAGTTATCGGGCCGCGAGGAGGCCACGAGGGGGGGGGCTTTCCGTCCTCTTCGGCCTCCCTCGGAGGCCTTCGCCGGGCCTTCGGGGCCGTCCAGAGACGGCCTCCAGGAGGAAGAGGATCGGTGCCCGGGGAGCGGGCCCAGACCTCCGGGGGTCGACGTCCTGCCCAGAGGAGAGAGAGAGAGAGGAAAAACCAACAAAAAAAATGGCGTCGGTGGTCTGGAGGAGGAGGAGGAGCGGGCGGGAGAGGAGGACGGGCTCTCGGGGTCGAGGCCTCGAGACCGCGCGGGCCCGCGCGCGACAGGGCGAGGAGGAGGAGGAGGAGGAGGAGGAGGAGGAGGAGGCGAGGAGGAGGAGGAGGAGGAGGCGAGGAGGAGGAGGAGGAGGAAGAGGAGGAGGCGATGGACAGGAGGAGGAGGAGGAGGAGGAGGGCGAGGAGGAGGAGAAAGAGGAGGAGGAGAAGGAGGCGATGGAGAGCAGGAGCAGCGGGCGGGAGAGGAGGAGCACGGCAGCAGCCGAGGAGGAGGAGGAGGAGGAGGAGGAGGAGGAGGAGCCAAAGCCCCTTCGAGTCGTGAGAGAAATCGCAGGAAAAGGAAGGTTGCTTACCGTTTTCGGCGTCCAGGACCTCTGGGGGTCCACGTTGTGAGAACGTCACGACGCTATGGGGCCTGCGGAGGAGGAGGAGGAGGAGGAGGAGGAAGAAGAAGAAGAAGAAGAAGAAGAAGAGGACAGGGAGCGCTTGGTTCATGTAGCTGTTCAGCCTCAAGACAGCGCCCGTGGTTCCTACAAGCATGTATAGTCGGCGTGGGACACGCGTGGGAACCACCTGAGGCTTCATGAGCGAGCGAGAGACAGAGAGAGAGAGATAGGCAAAGAGAAAGAGAGGGATGGAGGGGAGAAAGAGAGGGAGAGAGCGAGACAGAGAGTAAGAGCCCCTCGCTCTTTTCCTTTTCACAAGTACAGTATTATTTCTCTTCCTCCGACACATATTCACATTATTCTGATGCTCGTGGAATATGTGTGTGCTGACTTTGTTTGTTTGTTGTTCAGCTTTTCTGTTTCCAGCCATCCGCGCGTAATTCCTTGACTGACTTTCAAAATTTCCCAGAATCACAATGCTGGGGGGCTGAGCAAAGGCGCACCCCTGCAGCGTCTTTAATGGACGGTCGGTTGCCCCTTGGCCGACTGATCGTCCTGCTCTTCCACCTTCCTACCTTTACTTGTCTTCCGATCATGACGACGACGGCTACTACGACTACGACTACGACTACGACTACGACTACGACTACGACTACGACTACGACTACGACCAGGACTGCGACTACGACTACGACTACAACTACGACTACGACTACTATTACTTGTACTACTACTACTACTACTACTACTACTACTACTACTACTACTACTACTACTACTACTACTACTACTACTACTACTACTACTACTACTACTACTACTACTACTACTACTACTACTACTACTACTACTACTACTACTACTACTACTACTACTACTACTACTACTACTACTACTACTACTACTACTACTACTACTACTACTACTACTACTACTACTACTACTACTACTACTACTACTACTACTACTACTACTACTACTACTACTACTACTACTACTACTACTACTACTACTACTACTACTACTACTACTACTACTACTACTACTACTACTACTACTACTACTACTACGACTATTAAGACTACTCTACGACTACTCCTACTACTACTACTACTACTACCACGACGACGACGACGAAGACGACTACTACTACAACAACTACTACTACTACTACTACTACTACTACTACTGCTACTACTACTACTACTACTACTACTACGACGACGACGACTACTCCTGCGACTCCTGCTCCTCTGTTCCCCCTCTTCTTGTTGCCCTTGTCTTCGTATCGCCTCAGATCCTGATTCCCTTCCTCCCCGCTCCCATCGTCCTCGACATGCATCATCATCATCATCATCATCATCAACACCAACATCATCATCATCATCCTCATCATCAGCATCATCAGCATCATCAGCATCATCATCCTGCTCCTCCTCGTCCTCCTCCTCCGTCCTCAATCCCCCCACCCCATCCTCCATCCCTCGTCCTCCTCCGAATCCTTCTCATCATCCTCTTCCTCCATCCCTTTCCTTTCCCGTATAAAGAACTCTTCCCTGTCGCACCCCCAGACGTGTCGGTAAGGCGGGCCGGGCGTTTCGCCTGAGACTGCCTTGCCACTTATGCTCCTGAAGCTTACAAATCGAGTAGGGGATTGACTACAGAATTGATTTACCCCAAAATTGATTTGGTCGTCGAATCCGAACGAAGTACGTAGAATACTCCGTAAATCTACGGAATGTTTAACGTATGTGTCGCAGATTCGACGGGAAACTCAAGTTTGGCGTGAAGCGAATCTGCAGTCGATCCCCTATCCGGAGAAGGTACAGCAGCTTCACGGATGGAGGGCGGGCCGTTTTCAAAATGTGGCTCTCACCTTGGCGCCGCGCACATTCGTCTTAAAAGCTTGCAACAGATTCATGGATGGAGGGCGGCACCTTTTTCAAAATGTGGCTACTATCACCTTGGCGCCGCGCACATTCGTCTTAAAAGTTAGCAACAGCTTTACCGAGCTTCACCGATGGAGAGCTGAACCTTTTCAAAATGTGGCTCTCGCTTGATTGCCGCGAACACTGGTCTTAAATGTTTACAGGAGCTTCAAGGATTCGTATGGCTGAAGTCCCAGGCATGGCGTTCTGACAGGGTTTAGGATTGTCAGGACGCACCACTGACAGGGATTCGCTGTGCTGAAGTCCCATAAACGAAATCCTGATTGGATTCAGGATCGCCAGGGCGCATCAGCCACGTTGATTCATGCCGCTGAAGTCCCATGACTTGCGTATTGGTGCGAATGAAACTCTCAGGCGGCTGTCCTCCAATGGGGCGCTCCACGCAATGAAGACAAGTTCTTGTAGGAGCA